CAAGGTGCCGGAAGCACCGGCCTGTGTGAAAGGCAAGGAAACAAAATGACACCTGCAGAGTTAAAAAGGAAAGCAGGGTCATCTTTGTTCAGAGACGTGATTATCTGGTAGAAGACCCCAAAGCATCCAAGGTAACAGAGCTGCTGGAACTAGCAGGTGAGTTGTCAGGGTCACAGGGCGCGGCGCCTCTGTACGAAACCCGTCATCTGACTGTGTGCTCGCGGCCTCTGCTGCGTCGCGCTGCGTGTGGTCCGCGGGCCCCAGCTTAACCCGGCTCTACCTGGAGGAGCTTCCCTGCCCCACCTCTTCCCAGTGTTTAGTTTCCTAGCTCCTGTCTGTCCCCCTTTATATCAGTTTTTAAACTGGAAATAAATAGTTTATGTAGATTGTTCTTAATATTTCACAATGCTTAAGGTCACAAAAAAGAAAGTCACTTTTTTTTCTATTCAGAAATGATGTGAACGTATTTCAAGACCCTACTTAGCAAAGCTGACAAGGAGGCCAGTTCTAGACATTTTAGGGGATCGCATTTGTGTTTCTCTAGGGGAAATACCAGAGGCTGTCTCTTGCTCTCACTATTAAATATTACAGCAGAAATAAAGCAGCCATATGCTTTGTTGAGGGAAAATAGCATCATGGAATTTACCCTTTTTTCCTGCAGTCACCAGTTTCATTAGTGACATTCGGGAGCTTCGTTGCTCTGCTCATGTGCTGTTTTCTGCCTTGATTTCCAGAAGAGCTGTGACTGAATTCAAGCAAGTACTGGAATAATCAGCTTTTATGCTAATTCTAATATTGATGCCAAGTTGTTCCATGTGTTCATGCAAAAGATATGAAATGATATAAATGTCTCCACTGTTAATTTTTATGTGTTGAAAGTCCATTTGCCTCCAGCAAAATGAAATTGAATTAGATACCATTAGCAATGTTTGTGTAATTATGATTATCCAGTAACTTTATTTGGGCTACAGGCAAAGATTTATTTGACCTGGAACAACGCTTTATAAGTATTAATGCAGTTTTACTTATTTTAAGTATTAAAATGGCTGTTTGCCTGTAACAAGATGTGCCTGTTCCCGATTTTTACTTCAGAATCCTCTGTAAACAGTGAAAAGCACACAGTGGAATCTCCAGAATAGGTGGAGACCTTTTAAAACATTCTACTCCTGAGCCAAAATTCCTTCAAAGTGCTTGAAAATTTATACCTTCCCTGCCAAGAAGAGCCACAGTGTGTCTCCATCCTCATGCTCACACAACAAAGCGCTATAGCCTCAACTCTGGATCTGCCTTTTTTGCTGTTAGTTTTTCCCCCATTCTGTTATTTTTTATATGAGAGCATAAATATAAATGAAAATTAGGTTTTTATGTTTGTGAAACTATTTGCAAATGATATGACTGCTAACGGTTAATGTCCAAAATATATAAGCAGCTCATGCAACTCAGTATCAAGAAAACAAGCAACCCAGTGAAAAAGTGGGCAGGAGACCTGAGTAGACGTGTTTCCAGAGAAGACGCACACAGACGGCCAGAGGTGCGTGAAAAGACGCGCAGCCTCGCTGAGGGTCAGAGAAACGCAGACCAGAGTCACAGTGGGTTGTCGCCTCCCGCCCGGCAGCATGGCTGTCATCAAAAAGAACACGGATAGCAGATGGTGGTGAGGATGTGGAGAAAAAGGAACCCTCATACATCGTTGGTGGGGATGTAGATTGATGCAGACGCTGGGAAACAGTATGGAGTACTCCAAAAAAATAAAAATGGAACTACCACTTGAGCCAGCAGTTCCATTCCTGAGTATTTATACAAAGAAAATAAAAACACTAATTTGAAAAGATACATGCACCGCAGCATTCATAGCAACATTGTTTAGCGGCCTAAATGTCCATCAGCAGATGAAGGAATAAGGAAGATGTGGTTTATATGCCCACACACGGTGGGATACTACTCAGCCAAAGAAAAGAAATGTTGCCATTTGTAATAATATGGTCGGACCCAGAGGGAGTTATGCTTAGTGAAGTGTAAGTGAAGACAGAAAGACAAGTACTGTATGTTACCATCTACATGTGGAATCTAAAAAATAAACGAATGAATAAAACCAAAAAGGAACAGCCTCACGGATACAGAAAGCAAACTAGTGGTTACCTGTGGGGAGAGAGAAGGAGGAGGAGGGGAGGAGGCCCAAACGACTGCGTATGAAATAAATCAGCTACAGGGACGCGTTGTACAGCACAGGGAACACAGCCCATGTTTTACAGTAACCGAATGGAGCATAATCTGTAGAAGTTATTCAGCACCACCTTGTACACCCGAGACTAATACTACATTGTACATCAACTGTACCTCAATTTTTAAAAAGTAGGGGGAAGACTGCCAAAAAACACACCCATATATCTACATCTGTTCAGTGTGTCCTTGTGTCGTCGCTGTGGTCAGGTGGACAGGGTCGTGCTCCTCCGGCGGCAGAGCAGACTGGACTCTGGGCTGATGCTCTGGTCCCCTCATGGAGCAGCCCGCAGACGAAGGGTGTGAACAGGCCCGCCTGGGGAGAGGCTCCGAGACAGCCCCGAGCATTCTCCTCCTCGGGGAGAAGTCTGTGGACACGGGAGGAAGGAAGTGAGAGAGACTGTGTTCTCCTAGTCGCTCTGCCTCATCCTTCTTTTTAACCTAAAAATGAGTTTTAGTCAGAGAATGTCCCGCAAACTTTTTATCAGCAAAGATACAACTTTTTATCATTTTCTAATTATCGATTCCATTTTGAAAGCCTTTCGCCAGACAGGCTCACTAAGCACATGGTTTCTCCATCTTTGATGACCACATGCACACACAAGTACCAAGCAGAACCTGGAGTCAGCGTGAAGTAAGCAGTGTTATTAGCGTTCCGAGTTACTATCAGGAGCAGCCGACTGCCTCTGTGACCGTCGTGCTCTGCGCTCCCAGGGCTGACTGCGGTCCGCAGGATCCGCTGCTGCTCTGATGGAGCACAGGGCGTCTGATGCCTGCTTTTCACCAGATTTTGAAAGATCTGCGAGAGAAAAGAAATCCTCCAGCGCCGCACCGTGACCGGTGCCTGTTGCCGTCACAGGGCCTTGCTTGCTTGTGAAGTGGGGACTGTACTCTCCGAGCCACGAAGCCGCAGGGGTCTGAATGAGAGGACGTTCTGGGATCTTCTGATCTTTTACTCAGTTATTCATTGAATGAGCGTTTCAGTACTCATCACCACACACATGGAGTCGGCCTCAGTAGGTTTCAGGTTGGTTCCTACGGGGTTCTGTGTCACATTGCCAGTTGGTGACTTTATTGTTGCCTTTCGTTCACATGGTATTGAATTTTATTGGCTTAGCTGTTTGGCATCCAGACTTCTCCTGCATCTCTTCCTCACTCAGTTTCAAGTAGAAGGGTTTTTTTAAGCCCAAAGATTTTTGAAAGACCAGATCTAGCTCTGAAGCAGATATAAGACCCCTTAAAAAATCTTATTTCTGAAAAATTGTCCGTATTGACCACAAGATGTTCCTGTGGGGTCGTCAGTTACTACTTCCTAGAGTGTGTCTCAGCTGCGTGTAAGGGTTAGTCTCTCTGTAGGAAACCGATGAGACTAGCCCTGATTGTCTAAAAATAAAAGCATGTTTGGTAATGTATAATTTGTGACATAACTTCAAGAAAAGCAATATAACGCATGTGAATCATGATCGGTTAATTTTTCAAGTTGATAGGAAATGCAAAGATAGGTAAAATACAGCCTTCTGAAGTTTATCAGCATTCTATTACTACATATTCCTATACACACATTCACACAGACACTTAGATTTGTAAATTAAACAGTAGCTTTTATCTGTTTGATGATCTCATGTTGTAATAGCTCCTGACATTAGAATCTGGGGTCACTTGTCATTGCATAGCACGTAATGGTTTATCAGTGACGAATAATTATCCCAAAATAGCAACTCTGAAGGTTATAAACATGTCATAGATGCTTCTAAAAATTATACAGTCATATTCACAACTAATGTTTGATTAATAATGCAAAAATAAAATCTTGGGGATGTATTTACAATAAATAATAGAATTTGTCCCTCGTAGGTCTATAGGCCAAGTTTAAGCACCCCAAACTGCGAAAAACGCACATTTTAAAGTATCCTTTTTTTTTTAACTTGTCACCTGAATTTTCTTAGAACATGTAATTATACTGAAGGAACTTTATGGATAAGATAATTTTGAAAGCAAGAAGGGAAGTTTGTGATGCACATGGCTTACCTAAGAAACAAAATAAACAAAGTATTTTCCAGTGTTGTTCTGAATGTGTAAAATGGCCTGAGGCTATCTTCAGAATAAGTCTCAGCAAAAGAAGCAGGTGATTGTTTTAGAATTACAGTAGATGAAAGGAAACATCAGCGTAAAGAAGATGTCCGGAAGCCTGACAGAACTTTAACCTCCGTTACCCAGAGGGAAACTCTTAGAAGCAACATGACTTTAGAATGAACAGGCCTGCTGGCTAGCCTTTTAAATCTGACTGGAGAGCTGAAAGCTCAAGGACTTCTCGGAGTTCTAAAAAGGTAGCTTTCTAAAGCTTGAATGTGCATTTCTTTTAATCAGTGAAATCAGAAAGAGACAGATTTTAATAATCATGTGAAGGAAGAAATTATGTTTGGTGCAAATTTGTTTATCTTAGCTGAGATGAGTCAAAGGTGATTCTAAGGCTTCATATGTCTGGAAGGGAGTTGTGGAACTGAAAATAGGCTGTAGATCGACTACCGTGTGTGGGGGGGGTCTGTGTGTGTGTGGGGGGGGGTGGGGGTGTGTGTGGGTCTTTGGGGGGGGTGTGGAGTGGACTTAGAATTCTCTGGCTCATAACTTTCGTTTACAGATATTAGCTAAATTTGCCAAACTTCTATTTCTCATAAATATCTAGTTGTTTGCCCTCTTCGTCTTTTAAGTGATTTTCTTTCTTGCTGGGCGTTGAGTTTTACCAGTGCTGGGTGCTGAGTGATGTTCCTCCTTTGCTGCAGGTAAAACTTCAGTCAAGAAGCTGACAGATAAGGTAAGCGATGAGGGGTCTGCTTTTCTTTCCTTCTTTTTAAGGTAGAAAACAAGCTTCCATAAGTTAAATTGAAAGGTGTTAATATGTGTATTCAAAGGACATCGAGGACGTCCTGGCGGGAATCAGAAGAGCTGGTTGTGGGTCAACGTTTTTCAGAGACCTTGGCGATAAAGGTAATTTTGATTTCATGTTAAATTTCTGCTTGTGTTTTCTTTAACCAAAATATTACTATTAAGGAATTAGGTTATGAGGTTTGCAACTGCGTGTTGGAGAGTCTACACAGAGAATGTTGTGATGCTGTGTTGCTTACGAGGTGTTTTAAAGCATAATAAAATGCTCACTACGTTGCAAGTACCCTTCTCAAACCCTTTGAACAATTACAGATAAATTATTTAAACACTGATTTTAATTAAAGCCTGAAGACAAGGAGCAAGGTGGGGCATCTAAGGTAAGACGAGAAAGCCTCAGACACAGTGCACAGGAGCACCAGCACCTGCGGGAGCAGGGCAGAAGGGGTGCCCTTGAGAGTCCCAGCAGAGGAGAGGGGAGCGGGCCCCAGCGTCCAAGGGGCCCCGGGGAGGGAGGGAGCTGCCAAGGAAACCAGGGGTCGCGTCAGCCAACTGAGACACGCGCATTAGGTGAGCAGCAGAGCTTTAGACGTGTGGGCAAGGGCAGGCGTAGTGAGGGGCGGGTTCTGAAGCCAAACTGCAGAACGTGGGAGGGAGCGGGGACAGCAGGAGATGCCGCGGGGCGGGGGAGGGGGACCACGAGGGCCTAGAGGGCAGTCTCGGGGGCAGGGCAGAAGGCCGGGGACATTGGTTTATGGTGGAGAAGGGGCTTGGGCTGTCCCTCGCTCTGGGAGGGAGAGGTGGAAACACCAGAGAGCAGGACAGAGTTCCGGGAAACGTGCGAGAGAGGGCTGTCCCCGGAGCACAGGTGGAGGGCGCGTCCTCAGGTGGAGAGCACTTGCCTGGTACCCGTGGGGAAGGATGAGCATGTGGGTGTCCAGTGCCCATGCTGGCGGAGTTAGTGGTAAGCTGAGGCGGGTTCGGAGGGTCACTTTGATTTTCTTTACAAAGTAGGAGGGTGGAGAAGGAGAAGGCCTGGGGCAGCTTCTGTGGTCAGTAACAAGAGCTGACAGGGGAACACGGGAAGGTTTCTGGGAAGCCTTGAGGGGCCAGAAGACAGTGTAGGTCACGAAAGAGCCGTCAGCCCGTCGGTGCAGCTGTGCAGTGGTTCCCCACGGCCTCTAGCGGGAACAGGAATGCCGTTCGGCTGTATGGGGTTAGGGTTCTGCAGGACACACGGGTGGAAGAACGGCTGTGGGAGTTAATGTTGAGAGCAACATTTCTACTTTAAAGTGTAAGAAGTTTTAAGTAATGAGCCTTGGTGTCTAAGCAAGATCATAGAAAAGAAAGTAAAATAGGAAGAGAGGTGAAAGAAGAAAGCGGGAAGGAGGGAGAGGGGGGCTGGGAGCAGGTGAGCTGTGAACCCACGAGTGAGCGGGAGACCCTGTGAGGTTGAGAGCAGGGCATCTGCCCTGATGAGGTCGCAGGTGAAGCAGCTCCAGGTGCTTTCCGGTTCAGGGTGTGGCTGTGGATTAGATGGCTGGAGCACTGATGTCATGTGTGTGACCACAGGGCTAAGGGACAGTGTCGTCCTGTGTGCTGAGATCGCCTGGGACGATGATGTTGAGGTGAGAGAAAGACAGTGAAGCAGGGGCCGGTCTTTGGGACTGAAAGCTACAGCGCGGGCGGCGTGGTCGAGGACCAACCACAGAGGAAGCAGGAGGCGGGCTGGCTCGGTGGCATTCGCCTCAGAATAGCAGGTTTGTCCGGAGGTTGGAAGAGTGAAGGTCTGGAGTTAGCACTGCAGTGGGAGACAGGGGTCACCCCCGTCGGAGGGCCGGAGGGCGCCACACCCTCCGGGGGGGCTGGGCTGAGCGCAGTGGAGGAGTGGGGTCGGGGCAGAGGCGTGGAGGCCGGCAGGGTCGGGACAGATGGTGCGGAGGCCAGCGTGCAGGTGTGAGAACACAGATGTGCGGAGGGGCTGCCAAGGGTGTTTGGACTTGGGCCAGAGAGGTGAGCAGAACCTAAATCTGCGTGACTTTGCAGGACCTTGACCTCGTCTGAGAGCAGTAGGCTGCCGTCAGAGAGTTGTAGGAAAGTGGCAGATCCGATGAGAAGACCCCTCTGGGGGAGGGCGGGGAGTGGCTGAGGGGGTGATTGACCCGAGGCAGTGGGAGGTTTTGCAGCCCCAGCGGGGGATGTGCCAGAGCAGGGGTCGTGGGACAGAGAGCAGGGTGTGAACTTGACTGGCGTCTTGGTGACAGAATGGACGGGCTGGGTTAGACTGCGTGTGAGGGAGGGGAAAGGGGTCCGGGATGAGGCCCAGCACTCTGGCCTGAGCAGCTCAGTGATGACTGTGTGGGTCACGGAGGCTCCGGGGCGCGGGAAGGAGGCCGTGCCTGTGGGGTCGGGAGGGGCCGTGCCCGGTGGAGGACGTGCCGGGTTCGGATTTTATGACGCTGTCCTCCCTGAGCGGCTTGGGAAGCCTGTGTAGAGCGGGGACACCAGGGGCCCTGGACGGAGCACCTCACTTTAAGGGAGGGCGGCGAGCAGGGCGGAGCCGAGGAAGAGCCCTCAGTGGGTGCGGGGGCTGCGCCAGGCCGCTTCCAGAGCCCGCTGTGCACTCAGGCCCTCGCCCTGGGGGCCCTGTGCGCACGCTGACACCTTTCCTGCTCGCAGGAGTCCTACGCGGGAGGTGCCGTTATCTCGTACCCTGTTTATAGACGAATTACCCGAGGCACCAGGAGGTCAGGTCGCCTGCCCGAGGCTAGATGCAGTTGGTGAATGCAATTCATAAGTGTTTTTAGCTTTACTCTCATACCTATTTGAGCCAAATGTCACTTAGGAGGTGTCGTTTGAAAATGCTCATACAAATAGGCGAAGGACCTCCATGGGTCCTTTTTATGTAAGGACCAGTCTGTGACAAGTATCGAAAAGTATTCGCCCACAGTTGTGATAAACTAATGGCAGATAATGTTGCTTCCTGTTGGCTATGGGAGGAGCTGGAGGATTAACAGCAGAGGCGGTTTCCTAGCTCACTCCCTGCTGTTGAATAGAGAAGAGTTGTTACACTTCTCCTTGAGAGATTTACAGCATTCTCAAATCACATTACTTTTTTTTAACCTTTGTATGTGAACATTAGCTTCAAAATGAGAATATTTATATCACATAACACTCCATAGAAAAGGAAAGCAAAATAGGAGGAAGACAGTGAAAGAGCTTTGGCGTCTGAGCTCCGTGGAGTTGGCACTGACCAGCTGCTTATGGGGGAGAAGCGTCAAGTCCTGCCCACTCGCCAGGGGTCGGAGTCCGGTGGACTCGCAGCCCTCGAGTCCGTTCTGCGATGCTAGTTCCTCGTGCTGAGCTGCCTGTCTTCACACCGTCCCACCCGCCCTCGCCGGCCTCCTTGGTCAGCACCAAACCTGTCTACTTTTAAGAGGTTAAAAAACTTCTTAACTGTTCAAGTGGGGATTACAGGGAGGTGGTCTGTGCGTATGAAGAAGAGAGTGTGTTTGGGGCCAACAGACATACATTCACAGTTTTCCTGGTTTATGACCTGAGGAGGCACTGGCCTTCCTCACTTTCGTCACCTTTAAAACAAGCTAGTGATCCCTGCATGACGATGGCCAAGGGCTTAATAAGTAAGATGTTTTTAACATTCATGGTATCTGGTACCAGCCCCAAAGACCATGTCAGGAGCATAGCTTTAAGCCTGGTTTGGCTCCCCAGCTCTGGCAGGTAGCTGGTGACCTCGGGCGAGCTAGTCCGCTTGCTTGTTACTGTGTGTCTGGCACATTGTACGCTTATAATTGGTAATATTATCATTGGTCTGTGTTTTCATAGGGTTTCATATTAACTGGACCTTGGCCTCTCATTAGGGAACTTCTAAATTAAAATGAATAATACCTTCTAAATCATAATTAAAGATTTTAGGAAATGGTCATTAACTCGGCACTTAAAAGTGGATTTTATGTGTAATATTTAAATCCCAAATGGTGATACTTAAATTGAAGCGTGGCTTTGAGATGTCCTTTCCTTACAAATGCTTTTCTGAAAGCATTTTGGGGTTTTAAGAAAGATACTCTGTTTACAGTTGTGAAAACTTGGGTAGTGTCCGTGGATATAACTCCATTGTTTCATCGTTGATTTTTCCCCCTAAAGTAAGGAAGGCAGGGAGAGTCTATAATAATTCTGACCTAATGGCAAAATATTAGAAGCAGCAGTGGGTTAATTCAGCGTTGGTGTAAAGCACTAACACGGGTATATGTAATAAATATATTAATATTTACACCACTAATAAATATATTCACATGTGTTATATTTATATATTAATATAGTAATGAAATAAATATAATTTAGAAAGTCTTTTAAATATTACTTTAAAGGCAAATTCATAAAATGAATGCTGAAAAGAGAAAGTTTAAACCATTTTAAGGAGGCAGTATCTGGGAGAAGAGCTTAATCTGTGGTACTTACAAGAGGGACCATTTGCAAAGACCTCAGACACTTGCCTCGCTTCTGCAAAGACATCCTCCCGCAGCCTCCTGGCCGGTAGTACCCTCCCCCGAGCTGGGAGCTGGGAGCTGGGAGCGGGGCCTTGAGTGCTGCCTGCGCCTGCACAGCCCTCTGGGACACCCTCCGCCACTGCCTGTCCCGGCTCCCCCATCCCGGGAGAGCGAGCTGAGACCCTGGGACACAGGCCTTGTTCTTTCTCATCTTTTTAGTTCTGCTACACTGCACCGTCTCTCGCATCTTCTAATTCAGCCACAAATCCTCCGAGAGGAAGAACGTGTGCGGTCATTTCTGTATCTCTAGCTGCCGGTAGCGTGTTGCCTAAAACGCTCTCCAGCACAGAGCAGGCGCTTGTCTAAAAGTGACTGACTAGTATCGCTAGTGACAGTCATCCTCGTCCGTTTCTCTGAGCCCCTGATCATTTTTGTTATGTAACTTTAGTTAGCCTTTCTCTATTGAAAGTAGGAAGACTGCACGTTTTTCAAAATATTTTCCAGTTAAGGGGAGGGTATAGCTCAGTGGTAGAGCGCGTGCCTAGCGTGCACAGGGTCCTGGGTTCAATCCCCAGTGCCTCCATTAAAAATAAATAAGTA